TTTGGGATTAAAGAGCTATTTTTCCACTCATGGCATTATACATCAGACATCTTACACTAATACCCCTCAACAAAATGGGGCTGTAGAGTACAAGAATTGTCATCTTCTTGATATGGCTCGCTACATGTATTTTTCTATGAGTGTGCTTCAGTCTTATTGGGGCGAGGCCATTCTCACCGTAGCCTATCTCATTAATCGTCTTCCTACCCAGGTTTTGCAAAAACAAGCTCCACTTCAAGTCCTTCTCGATTCAAAGTTTTTGTTTTCCATTCCCCCTAAAATATTTGGCTGTCTATTTTATCCACAATTATTCTCCTACTTATGGTAAGTTGGACCCTCGCTCTCTCAAGTGTGTTTTTCTCGATACTCGCTTACTCAAAAGGAATATAAATGTTATCACCCTACTTCTCGTAAGTGGTTTGTGTCTATGGATGTCACATTCTTTAAGTCTCAGTCCTACTTCTTATCTTCTCCGGTGGCACAGTCATCCCTTTAGGGGGAGCCTTGGTGTGAAGAGATTCTTGTTGTCCCTGTTGTTCTTATGGTGGAACCAGTTATTCCTGCACCACCTATTACTGGGACTATAGAATCTAATGCCACTAAGGATAGGGAAGGGCAAGTTTATGCCAGGGACAAAGACAGACAGAAAGTTACTTGGATACAAGAGACCACTTCTGCTCATCCACTGCCATCTCCTGCTAGAGTCTAGGTAACTTTGAGCCTCTTGTTTCTCTTGAGTCTACTGATATTGCTATTCCTGACACTATCGATCTTGATATTCCTATTGCCAAGATAAAGCGTGTGAGATCTTGTAGTCAACATTCTATCTTAAACTTTGCGTCATACTCTTACTTGTCTTCCTCTTATAGAGCCTTTGTGTCAAACATTTCCTCTGTTAGTATTCCTAACCATTTTCAGGATGCTCTCACTACTTCTGAATGGAAACTTGCCTTGATTGAGGAAATGAAAACACTTCGTAAGAATGACACTTGGGAATTAATTGAGTTGCCTAAGGGAAAACGATCGGTGGGATGTAAATGGGTATATACTGTGAAGCACAAAGTAATGGTTCCATTGAGCTTTAAACTTGTGGCAAAAGGCTTCACTTAGACTTATAAAGTAGACTATTAGGAGAATTTTGCACCAGTGGCTAAGATGAATTCAGTCAAAATACTTCTTTCTCTAGCAGCTAATTTAGATTGACCACTTCATCAGTTTGATATAAAGAATGCTTTCTTATATGGTGATCTAGAAGAAGAGGTATATATGGGCATTCCTCCTGGTTTTGAGGATCATCAGATAAAGGGTAAAGTATGCAGGCTTCGGAAGTTGTCATATGGTCTCAAACAGTCTCTAAGGGCTTAGTTTTAGAGATTCACTCAAGCTATGTTTAAATATGATTTCAAACAAAGTCAGGCAGATCCCACTTTGTTTGTGAAACATTCCTCACGTGGTAAGACTATAGCTCTCATTGTTTATGTAGATGACATAGTGCTTACAGACGATGATAATGAGGAATACCCTTGTTGAAGAAATATTTAGCTAGTGAGCTTGAAATCAAAAACTTGGGGAACTTGAAGTACTTTCCAGGAATCGAAGTTGCTCGCTCCAAGGATGGGATATTCATCTCACAAAGGAAATATATTCTTGACCTTTTGAAGGAAACAAAGATGCTTGGATGTAAGGTTTGTGATACCCCACTGGAACCTAATCAGAAACTTGGTGATGATGAAGGAAGAGCAGTTGTTGATAGGGGGAGTTATCAGCGACTAGTGGGTAAGCTCATTTACTTATTTCACTCACGTCCTGATATTGCTATTGCTATCAGTATGGTTAGCCAGTTTATGCATGTTCCTCATCAAATTCACTTAGAGACTGTTATGAGAATTCTGAAGTACTTGAAATCTTCTCCTAAAAAGGGCTTTTATTTTTTCAAACATGATCATTTCAGAGTGGAACCCTATACAGATGTTGATTGGGTAAGGTCAATAACTGATAGGAGATCTACATCAGGATATTGTACCTTTGTGGGCGGCAATCTTGTTACTTGTAAGAGTAAGAAGCAGAATGTGGTGGCTAGATCGAGTGCAGAAGCTGAGTTTAGAACTATGACACAAGGTATATGTGAACTCTTGTGGATCAAACTGTTGTTGAGTGATATGGGGATAGGCCAAACAGACTCTATGCAGCTATATTGTGATAATAAGGCTGCCATCAACATAGCTCACAATCCTGTTCAACATGACAGGATAAAGCATGTTGAGATTGATCGCCATTTCATTAAGGAGAAACTCACCAGCGACATGATATGTACTCCTCTTGTGAAGTCAGGCAAATAACTTGCAGACATCCTCACTAAGGTAAACCATTTCATGACATTCTAGGCAAGCTGGGCATGCGAGATATATTCGCACCAGTTTGAGGGGAAATGTTAAAATATTACCTTGTTTCCTTATTTAGATTAAATTGTGATTGATTGATTGATTGTGATTCCTTAATCAGTCAATATAAAAGGTGATTCCTTAATCAGTGCCTTAGGCCTTCCTTTTGTAATAGTTGATTGATTAATATAGAAGGTGATGATATCATAATCATCACCCAAATTTTGTATTCTCTAAAATTACATAAATGAAATCCCACCCCTCCATACATCCTCTAAAAAACCGACATTCTTCTCATTTCCCACAATGAAACAAATGAATCGAGAGAATAGATAGACCTTGTGAAATGAATTTTCATGGGGATCAAGAATCCCCCGGTTAACCAAGTGAGAGTCCTATCCATTGTCTTAATAATACCATGCCAAAAAGAATTGTGCTCAATAGGAAATCTGCATAACCATCTACCAAGTAAGGCAATATTCTTTTGTCATATGCCCCCTTAATTCTTAGGAAGAGAAACCACATCCTAGCCTTTACCGCAAAAAAAAAAAAATCTGTCATCATTTTTTCAATTTCATTTACCACATCTACCGAAAATTTAAACAAAGATAAGTAGTAATAGGTACGGTTCACAAAATAGATCAAACCAAAGTAAACTTCCACCTCTAGATAACAAGGCCCTCTTCCATTCATCTAACCCCTTAACCAATCCTCTCATTATCAATGACAACAACTTAAAGAAAGCCCAAAACATAAAGGATAAAGATTTAATGCGACATCTTAATAGCCCAACCAATCATTGTAATCTATCTTTGGAAAATTAATACCAACTATGATATTTTTATTCATCTTAAGCCCAAAAATCATTTTAAGTACTCTTAATATTGAAAGCATGTTAACCATTTTATCCTCTTCATCAAAAGAGAAGAAAATTATATCATTTTCAAACTGTAGATGAAACATTGAAACTGTGAGCATATTATGGAAATATATCAATTAGATTGCTTGTATATTTTAGATTGATTGATTGTATAGGGTTATTCTTGTTTCTTATTTTAGATTAGGTTTAGGTTTGCTATATATATCGGTTGTAATCTTTGTATTAGACACAATTGAATATACAGAAAAGCTTTTAGGAATCTTACATGGTATCAAAGCTTGATACGAAACCCTAGCAGCCATCACACTTTGGTCGTTGCTTCTGATCGCTCATTGGGTGGTCACCGACTGATTTTTGGTGTTGTCCTTTGTCTCTCCATCAAGCTCCTTGGTCGCGATTGTTGGGTGGTTGCCAGAATCACAATTTGTCATCATCCATCGCGACTCGTCATCATCCGTGACCTCTAGGCCGTCAGATTGCAAGTTGAATATGTGGTTCTCTGGTCCCTGCGTTCGACTTCTGGTTCGTCTCTCTTGGTGCGGTGAACGTGGAGTTCGTCTCTTAGCTTCGATCTCCTTCAGTCTCTCTTTGGTTTCGTCTCTCAGAATCTGCACTATTCCTCAGCTTCAATCATAGTTGTTAAGATAGCGATCCGGATCGTAATCCTACGATTCAATATACAGCATTCGATCCGACTCGCACTCTGGATCGACCCCAGGTTAGGATCGTGGTGGGATCGTAATAGGGTCGTTGGGATCGGTGGGATCGTTTCTGGATCGCGACTCAGTGCGATCTAGATTTGAAGCTTTTTTTCGCAACTTAAAAGCAAAATCGGGAGTAAACAGACAGAGAAGCAGAGAAGCAAAGAAGCATACCTTGCGATTAAGGCAATACAAATTGGGGAAAAAGAGAAATTCAACAGCAAATTTCAGAATTTGCATTCACAATCAACCAGGTACGCTTCTTCCTTCTTCTTCGAATCTTCTCTTCCTCTCTCTTCGTTGCTTTCTTTGCTGTTCTTCTTCCTCTCTCTTCACTACTTTCTTCGCTGTTCTGCCGCCTCTCTCTTCGAATCTTCTCGTCTTTATCTTTCTTTGTTGCTCAGTTCTCTTTCTTTCCCTTCACTGAGCTGCTTCCCTTCTCTGAGCTGCTCTCATTTTGTGGTTCGAATCAACTTTATTTTTTTTATTTTTTATTTTTTTGTTTTTGTAAAATATATATTAGTGTATATTATATATATTTATTGTTCTTTTTTTGTTTTTTGTTCTCTTTATATATATGTTTATGTTTTTTGTTCTCTTTTTTGTTCTGTGTCTGTTTCTGTTCTCATTTTGTTCTCTTTTTCTTTTTTTTTTTTTTTTTTTTGGTTTTTTTTTTTTGTGTATTATATATATTTTTGTATGAATGATGTTTCTCTTTTTTGTTTTTTGTTTTTTCTTTTTCTTCTTCATTTTTGTTGGTTCTTCTTTGCTACTATGCCACTGTCCAGACAATGAAAAACAAGTGGACTGTTCTAGATATCAACTCAGGGCACCAACTTATGCACTTGTGTATTCAACTCTCTGCCTTTATGCTTCTCCAGTCTCCTACTTATGGCATATTATAATGAAAAGAGTAGGTTGTTATGGTTATTGCACATTGGAACATGTAACAAATGCACACATAAACTGCTGTTCTTCTTTCTTTCTTTTTCCTTAAACTTTGCTAAAAAAATTTCTTTTAAATTTCACAATTTGCAGCACACAATGTCAGCCTCTGGTTCAGGAAGAGGAAGGAAGAGAAAAAATGTTGCTGGTCACAGATCTGATCCTGGTTGGGAACACGGCATTAAAGTGGATGCTGCAAGCAAAAAGGTAAAATGCAAGTACTGTAATGTTACTCGTTCTGGAGGAATATATAGATTAAAACACCATCTAGTATGCACTCATCAAAATGTCGAACCATGTCCCCAAGTTCCAGAAGATGTTAGAGAAAAATTTATGAGTCTTTTAAGAACTCAAACATTAGAGTCTCAAAATAAGAAAAGGAGGATGCTTGATATTGGTGATGATGATTCTGATAAAGAAGTGGAACTATTGCATGCTGGGTATGAAACCAAACAAAATCATTATGGGCGTATGGATAAATTTGTAGTGAATAAGTCTCAGCACCAAAATCAAAAAACTATCAATCAATTATTTAAGAAAGAAGAGAGATGATGTTTGTCAAACAATTGCCCAGTTTTTTTACACTGGTGCAATTCTTTTTAATTGTGTCAACAACCCTATATTTCCACTTATGGTTAAGAAAATTGGAGATTATGGAAAAGGCCTTGTGCCACCATCTTACCATGAAATTAGGGTGACATTTTTAAAAAAAGAAGTGCGTGAGACATTGCAATTACTTGATGAGTTTAAGGAATAATGGAAAAAGACCGGGTGTACAATTATGTCCAATGGATGGTCGGATAGAAAGGGAAGATCAATTTGTAATTTTCTTGTCAATAGCCCTAATGGAACTATCTTTCTATTATCATTGGATACATCCGACATTTCAAAAACCGGTGAAAAGGTTTTTGAGATGTTGGATGAGGTTGTTGAGAAGGTTGGAGTGGAGCATGTTGTGCAAGTGGTGATCGACAATGCTTCTAATTATAAGTTGGCGGGAGAAATGTTAATGGATAAGAGGAAGAGCTTATTTTGGACGCCTTGTGCCGCTCATTGTATAGATTTGATGTTAGAGCATTTTGAGATGCAAATCCAACTTCATCGAGTTACAATTAAAAAAGGGAAACGAATTGTGGCATACATTTATTCAGGAACAAATCTTATTCATTGGATGGAGGAGTTCACCAAAGGTATTGAACTTATTAGGCCCGCGATAACTCGGTTTGCCACATCTTACTTGACCTTGAGGCGCCTTCATGAGCAAAAGGGTGCAGTGTTCTCTTTGTTTACATCATCCAAGTGGAGGAATAGTTGATTTGCAAGGTCTGAGAAGGGTAAAAAAATTGAAGATATTGTTTTAGATAATCGTATTTTTTGGAAGGGCGTTTCTATGTGCTTAAAGGCTGCGGTACCTCTCATTAAAGTACTTAGATTGGTGGATTCGGATGAGCATTCGGTGATGGAATTCATTTACAAGGCAATGGATCGTGCGAAAGAGGAAATTCAAAGCAATTTCAATAATGTTTTCACATGATAAACTTTTAATTAGTTAAACTTATTTACTTTACTATTATATTTCTCTAAACTTTTTATTTGTTCATTAATATTCTTTATTTAATGGTGTTAGCTATGATCCTATATGGACCATCATTGATAGAAGATGGGAATCCCAACTCCATCACCCATTGCATGCTGCAGCATACTTCTTGAACCCGCAGTTTCATTACAGTCCCAATTTTCAGCCCGATGCTGAGGTTAAAATCGGGCTGTGCAAATGTCTTGAAAGAATGTGTCTGCTACAACGGTCCGACATGACCCCATAAACTGTCTTCTACATCGGTCTGACACCGCCATCCAGTGTCCTCTACACCGTTATGACACCCCTATACAGTGTCCTCTACAACGTTATGACACCACCATCCAGTGTCTTCACCAATGGTCTGACACGACCATACAGTGTCTCCTATCCTCTTTTATTTTTATGTATTTTCTTGTTTTGTTACTCTCTCCAAACTCAAGTTGGTTAGTTCCTATCCCCCTTGAGTTTGCGGGGGGCTGTTAAAAATCCACCTACTACACACCTACCACTACCACCTACTACACACTCACCTACTCTCCACCTACTCCTCACCTACTACACACTCACCCTCTTCTAGATATAGGAATCATGAATCATTGTAATAGAAATCAAAAACATATCAATCAATAATACAATTCTCTCTATTTCTCTATACATCAAATTTAACACAGGACAAAGCATGTTGAGATTGATCGCCATTTCATTAAGGAGAAACTCACCAGCGGCATGATATGTACTCCTCTTGTGAAGTCAGGCAAACAATTTGCAGACATCCTCACTAAGGTAAATCATTTCATGACATTCTAGGCAAGCTGGGCATGCGAGATATCTTCGCACCAGTTTGAGGGGAAGTGTTAAAATATTACCTTGTTTCCTTATTTAGATTAAATTGTGATTGATTGATTGATTGTGATTCCTTAATCAATCAATCAATCAGTCAATATAAAAGGTGATTCCTTAATCAGTGCCTTAGGCCTTCCCTTTGTAACAGTTGATTGATTAATATAGAAGGTGATGATATCATAATCATCACCCAAATTTTGTATTCTCTAAAATTACATAAATGAAATCCCACCCCTCCATACATCCTCTAAAAAACCGACATTCTTCTCATTTCCCACAATGAAACAAATGAACCGAGAGAATAGATAGACCTTGTGAAATGAATTTTCATGGGGATCAAGAATCCCCCGGCTAACCAAGTGAGAGTCCTATCCATTGTCTTAATAATACCATGCCAAAAAGAATTGTGCTCAATAGGAAATCTGCATAACCATCTACCAAGTAAGGCAATATTCTTTTGTCATATGCCCCCTTAATTCTTAGGAAAAGAAACCACATCCTAGCCTTTACTGCCAAAAAAAAAAAATCTGTCATCATTTTTTCAATTTTATTTACCACATCTACCGAAAATTTAAACAAAGATAAGTAGTAATAGGTACGGTTCACAAAATAGATCAAACCAAAGTAAACTTCCACCTCTAGATAACAAGGCCCTCTTCCATTCATCTAACCCCTTAACCAATCCTCTCATTATCAATGACAACAACTTAAAGAAAGCCCAAAACATAAAGGATAAAGATTTATGCGACATCTTAATAGCCCAACCAATCATTGTAATCTATCTTTGGAAAATTAATACCAACTATGATATTTTTATTCATCTTAAGCCCAAAAATCATTTTAAGTACTCTTAATATTGAAAGCATATTAACCATTTTATCTTCTTCATCAAAAGAGAAGAAAATTATATCATTTTCAAACTGTAGATGAAACATTGAAACTGTGAGCATATTATGGAAATATATCAATTAGATTGCTTGTATATTTTAGATTGATTGATTGTATAGGGTTATTCTTGTTTCTTATTTTAGATTAGGTTTAGGTTTGCTATATATATCGGTTGTAATCTTTGTATTAGACACAATTGAATATACAGAAAAGCTTTTAGGAATCTTACATGGTATCAAAGCTTGATACGAAACCCTAGCAGCCATCACACTTTGGTCGTTGCTTCTGATCGCTCATTGGGTGGTCACCGACTGATTTTTGGTGTTGTCCTTTGTCTCTCCATCAAGCTCCTTGGTCGCGATTGTTGGGTGGTTGCCAGAATCACAATTTGTCATCATCCATCGCGACTCGTCATCATCCGTGACCTCTAGGCCGTCAGATTACAAGTTGAATATGTGGTTCTCTGGTCCCTGCGTTCGACTTCTGGTTCGTCTCTCTTGGTGCGGTGAACGTGGAGTTCGTCTCTTAGCTTCAATCTCCTTCAGTCTCTCTTTGGTTTCTTCTCTCAGAATCTGCACTATTCCTCAGCTTCAATCATAGTTGTTAAGATAGCGATCCGGATCGTAGGATCGTACGATCCTACGATTCAATATACAGCATTCGATCCGACTCGCACTTTGGATCGACCCCAGGTTAGGATCGTGGTGGGATCGTAATAAGGTTGTTGGGATCGGTGGGATCGTTTCTGGATCGCGACTCAGTGCGATCTAGATTTGAAGCTTTTTTTCGCAACTTAAAAGCAAAATCGGGAGTAAACAAACAGAGAAGCAGAGAAGCAAAGAAGCATACCTTGCGATTAAGGCAATACAAATTGGGGAAAGAGAAATTCAACAGCAAATTTCAGAATTTGCAGTCACAATCAACCAGGTACGCTTCTTCCTTCTTCGAATCTTTTCTTCATCTCTCTTCATTGCTTTCTTCGCTGTTCTTCTTCCTCTCTCTTCACTACTTTCTTCGTTGTTCTGCCGCCTCTCTCTTCGAATCTTCTCGTCTTTATCTTTCTTTGTTGCTCAGTTCTCTTTCTTTCCCTTCATTGAGCTGCTTTCCTTCTCTGAGCTGCTCTCATTTTGTGGTTCGAATCAACTTTATTTTTTTTATTTTTTTATTTTTTTGTTTTTGTAAAATATATATTAGTGTATATTATATATATTTATTGTTCTTTTTTTGTTTTTTGTTCTCTTTATATATATGTTTATGTTTTTTGTTCTCTTTTTTGTTTTTTTTTTTTGGTTTTTTTTTTTTGTGTATTATATATATTTTTGTATGAATGATGTTTCTCTTTTTTGTTTTTTGTTTTTTCTTTTTCTTCTTCATTTTTGTTGGTTCTTCTTTGCTACTATGCCACTGTCCAGACAATGAAAAACAAGTGGACTGTTCTAGATATCAACTCAGGGCACCAACTTATGCACTTGTGTATTCAACTCTCTGCCTTTATGCTACTCCAGTCTCCTACTTATGGCATATTATAATGAAAAGAGTAGGTTGTTATGGTTATTGCACATTGGAACATGTAACAAATGCACACATAAACTGCTGTTCTTCTTTCTTTCTTTTTCCTTAAACTTTGCTAAAAAAATTTCTTTTAAATTTCACAATTTGCAGCACACAATGTCAGCCTCTGGTTCAGGAAGAGGAAGGAAGAGAAAAAATGTTGCTGGTCACAGATCTGATCCTGGTTGGGAACACGGCATTAAAGTGGATGCTGCAAGCAAAAAGGTAAAATGCAAGTACTGTAATGTTACTCGTTCTGGAGGAATATATAGATTAAAACACCATCTAGTATGCACTTATCAAAATGTCGAACCATGTCCCCAAGTTCCAGAAGATGTTAGAGAAAAATTTATGAGTCTTTTAAGAACTCAAACATTAGAGTCTCAAAATAAGAAAAGGAGGATGCTTGATATTGGTGATGATGATTCTGATAAAGAAGTGGAACTATTGCATGCTGGGTATGAAACCAAACAAAATCATTATGGGCGTATGGATAAATTTGTAGTGAATAAGTCTCAGCACCAAAATCAAAAAACTATCAATCAATTATTTAAGAAAGAAGAGAGATGATGTTTGTCAAACAATTGCCCAGTTTTTTTACACTGGTGCAATTCTTTTTAATTGTGTCAACAACCCTATATTTCCACTTATGGTTAAGAAAATTGGAGATTATGGAAAAGGCCTTGTGCCACCATCTTACCATGAAATTAGGGTGACATTTTTAAAAAAAGAAGTGCGTGAGACATTGCAATTACTTGATGAGTTTAAGGAATAATGGAAAAAGACCGGGTGTACAATTATGTCCAATGGATGGTCGGATAGAAAGGGAAGATCAATTTGTAATTTTCTTGTCAATAGCCCTAATGGAACTATCTTTCTATTATCATTGGATACATCCGACATTTCAAAAACCGGTGAAAAGGTTTTTGAGATGTTGGATGAGGTTGTTGAGAAGGTTGGAGTGGAGCATGTTGTGCAAGTGGTGATCGACAATGCTTCTAATTATAAGTTGGCGGGAGAAATGTTAATGGATAAGAGGAAGAGCTTATTTTGGACGCCTTGTGCCGCTCATTGTATAGATTTGATGTTAGAGCATTTTGAGATGCAAATCCAACTTCATCGAGTTACAATTAAAAAAGGGAAACGAATTGTGGCATACATTTATTTAGGAACAAATCTTATTCATTGGATGAAGGAGTTCACCAAAGGTATTGAACTTATTAGGCCTGCGATAACTCGGTTTGCCACATCTTACTTGACCTTGAGGCGCCTTCATGAGCAAAAGGGTGCATTGTTCTCTTTGTTTACATCATCCAAGTGGAGGAATAGTTGATTTGCAAGGTCTGAAAAGGGTAAAAAAATTGAAGATATTGTTTTAGATAATCGTGTTTTTTGGAAGGGCATTTCTATGTGCTTAAAGGTTGCGGTACCTCTCATTAAAGTACTTAGATTGGTGGATTCGGATGAGCATTCGGTGATGGAATTCATTTACAAGGCAATGGATCGTGCGAAAGAGGAAATTCAAAGCAATTTCAATAATGTTTTCGCATGGTAAACTTTTATTTAGTTAAACTTATTTACTTTACTACCGTATTTCCCTAAACTTTTTGTTTGTTCTTGTTCATTAATATTCTTTATTCAATGGTGTTAGCTATGATCTTATATGGACCATCATTGATAGAAGGTGGGAATCCTAACTCCATCACCCATTGCATGCTGCAGCATACTTCTTGAACCCGCAGTTTCATTATAGTCCCAATTTTCAACCCGATGGTGAGGTTAAAATTGGGTTGTACAAATGTCTTGAAAGAATGGTTCCTAATGCTAATGAGAGGGTGAAGATAGATTTGCAAATTGATGCATTCAAGAGTGCAAGAGGACTCTTTGGCATACAAAATGCAATCATGACTAGAAAAAAGAAATCTCTAGGTGTTTTTTATTTTTACTAGAAGTTGATTTGTATCATTTTTAACATCTTATTATTTGTTTTCATTTCATCAATTTTAAATTTATAACTAAACTTTCATGTAGCTAACTGGTGGGACTCTTTTGGTGATGAATTCCCTGAGTTGAAGAGGTTTGCAATTAGGATATTAAGTTTACCATGTAGTTCATCGGGGTGTGAGGGCAATTGGAGTGCTTTTGAGATGGTACATTCAAAGCGGATGAATCGTTTGCACCAAAAGAGAATGAATGACTTGGTGTTTGTTATGTACAATTTGAAATTGAGACAACGACACATGAATAGACAAGCAATCGTGAATCCATTATGTTTGGATGATGTCCCATCAGATGATGAATGGATAACAGAGAGAGAGACTCTGACTCTTCCAAGAGAAAGAAATTGGTTAAGTGTGCTTGATAGGAATGCTCGACATGGATGCGATTCTGATGAAGACAAAGTGGAGGCCCTTGCAAGGAATTTGGAACAAGCTTGTAAGTTTATGTACACATCTTTTAGTTTTAATTAGAAATTATAACTTTAGTTTTACTTTTAATTTTTTTTGTTTACTCCAACTTAGGTCATGATCATATTGGTGGAGAACATGATGAAGTTCATGAAGTGATGATGATGCTATGGATCAAAACATGGATGCTCGAAGGGATTTTGATCATGACTTTGAAAATGCTACTATTGGTGAAGACATTGAGGAGTTGGATGGCACCGTGGGTGGTGATGATGATGATGATGATGCAGCAATGATTAATGTTGATTGTGGCAATAATGATGATAATTTTGGCGACCATGATGACTTTATTTAGTCTTTTATTTGTTCTTCCTTTATTTAGTTTGGCTTGTTTTCATTAAGAAACAATGACAATGGTGTGCAAGGGTTGGTATTTGTATTTATTATGTTTTCGACTTCTTTTTTTGGAAAAATATGTTTGAATGGTACCTTGAATTATTTTTCTTTTTTTGGGGCTTATTCTATATATATTTTGATAGTATTGCTTAGTCATATAAAAATTATTTCATTTTTTTATCATTTTAGTAGGATCTTACGATCCTCGATCCGATCCTACGATACGATCCGATCCGATCCGACAGACCCCCAAAACGATCCTATGTAGGATCCCGATCTTAACAACCTCGGCTTCGATCTCCTTTGGTGGTTTATACTTAATACCTTATTTTCAGATTTATTCTCCTTCGGTGGTTTATACTTAATACCTTATTTTCAGATTTATCACACTACAACCCCCAGGTTTCTTGTTATTACCCTTTGCCCCTGGTTACTCATTTTGGGTTTGTTACACTTCAACCTCTCAGACTTCTGGTCATTACGATGTCTCTAGCTTTTAACGAGTGTGCCTTTTGCCATCAGAGGGGTTATTGGAAGTATCATTGTCCTAAGAAGGGATGTTTGTCTACTTTGTTTGTGTTTGCCTCATCTTCACAGCAATTTCCGATCAAGTTTTGTGCTCCTCCTCTGAGTACCGTTTAGCCTCCTGCCGGTTCTACAGCATCTGCTTCGGTTCCTGATCTTGACTTGGCTTCCTTGATTGCTCAGATTAGTCAGCTTCAGCATACATTGTCTACCTCCCAGCCATCCCTGTCTGCCTCCATTGTTTCCTCTCTTCATTCAGGTTTGCTTGGGTTTTCTTTAGGTATTTCTTCGTCTGTCTGGCTTTTTGACTTTGGTGCCTCTCATCATATGACTCCCCATCTCTCCTGTTAAAATTCATGTATTATTGATTGATATATCTTGATATCTTATATTACAAATCAGAGTGGCTCATTATATAGGAGAGGAGTAGGTGAGGGTAAATTGGTGGTAGGTGTAGTAGGTGTGGTAGTAGGTGGTGGTAGGTGTAGGTAAATTCTAACATCTCCTTACTTCAAAATTGTACTCCTCCTCCCTTTCCTATTACTGTCAATGTTGCTAATGGGTCTGTTATATCTGTTAGGTATGTCCTACCATCTGCTGTGTCTGCTATCTCTATTCCATCTGTCCTTTATGTTTCTCAATTATCTGTCAGTTTATTATCTATCAGTCAGCTTGATGCCTCTGGTTTTGATATTATCTTTTCTTCTTCTATCTGTTCTGTGCAGGATCGGATGTCTAAACAGCAGATTGGGACTGGCCGAAACCAATTCAAATTCTTATTGTTCAAATTCCCTTTACAACTATACCAAATGAAACATACATAATTATTTATGGCTAGTTTACTAAATTCCAAAAAAACATAAAATTAAGACTCAAATTATTTCTAACCTGTTACGTAAGGTCCCTAGTATGTCTTTGAAATTTCTAGTTTGCTCTTTTCTTCTTGTCATGCTTTGCACCAGTCCATATGTCGAAAATATTTGTCTCCTAAATATAGGAAAACATGCAGAAAGCTATATCAGTAGCAAGTTGATTTCATCCCCGGGGACCGGTTTAGTAGATGACCCTTTGGGCGGAAACTACTTTGTTATCTTGCATTCCTCATTCGCATTAGAGACAGACAATCTTGATTATTTGAAAAAGAGCTCTAGGGGCCTGTTTGATTGGGTGGATTAGAGGATGGGATTGGGATTATTAATCCGTGGGCCCAATTATCCTATGTTTGTTTTAACACTTTGGTTTAGGATTATTAATCCAATGGATAATTAATCCAACAAATTTGTAGGATTATTAGTAATGGGGTAGGGGTGGGATTATTAATCCAATGAATATTAATCCAATTGGATAATGAATACCACACTAATTTAATAGGATTATTAATAATTCACTATTAATCTTGTGAATCAAACATGACCTAGAAGTTCAGTTGTTGTTCTCTCATCTCTTAAAATAGTTCGAAATTGAGAATTGTGAGACTCACCCAACCTAGTAAAGGGGACATTAAAACACGACTATATAAGGTCCCAGGTTGGCTCCATGTAGAGTTCCTAATTCACTCTTTTTCTTGCTACTATGCCTTGCATCACTCAACAACTTTTGCGTCTTTATATCAAAGCAAAAAGTGCTTCTCAGATCAAGAAGACTCAATTCCTTTGCTGCATTAGGGTGATGGTGTCTAACCTAATGGTACTTGTCAGGTAAATTTATCCAAGTGAGACATGGATGACTTGTTTTTATATGGCTCGATAAATGAGTCGTGACACAGTAACAAAGACTGTCTCTGTTTCACAGCCACGGTAAAAGTCATGAGTAATGACACAGTAATGAAGATTGACTCATTTTTATGTGGTTCGAAAAATGAGTTGGATAGGGTAAATACTGCTTCTTCTGACTAATGTTTATTTTGATGATTATTTTTCATTATTGACTAATGTTTTCCCAAGTTATCCTTTTATATTAAATGTGTTTTCTTGACTCTCTCTCTCTCTCTTTTTTTTTTTTTTTTTTTGGTCTACCCTACAGGAAGAGGGAAGGGGTGTCATTTATTAAATGAATTTGCAAAAGCTTGAATAATCTACAGGAAATAGATGATGTGTACATGCTTGGGATGTCATAATTTTGCATTTCACATATTGGTTCCCAAAGTTCCCTTATGTTTTGAGATTGTTTCTCAATAATTATGTGCTGTGTAAAAATTCTCTCCAAACTTGTTGCTCTCCTGGAGAGAAGCAATTTTGTGTGCTTCTGAGGTTTTTGGGAGTTGAAGTTCTTGCATTTGTTGCAAAATGAAGTTGGCCTAGTCTTAGTGTTTGTTTCATTTGTGTCAAAGCAGAGTGGTTCTGAAGAGGAACCGGAGCCAAAGCCGGAGCCGGAGCCAGAGTACACACCAGCAGGAAAAGCTTTAAAAGAAAAATTGTGAGTTCCAATTTCTTTACATGTATCTTGACTACCTGTTTTTGGTTAATATTCAACCAATGAAGAAATTTGAGATTTTTAATTAATTAATCATTGGTAATAATTTTGGATGTGGGAATTGGCTATGAAGCTGAATGCCTAAGGGTGACGTGCCCATGTTTGACATATGATTGGCCTTTGACACTCTGTAGCATAGACAGGGCACATTCATGCAAAATCCAAAAACTTGGGACACATACATGGCATGGACTTGCCCATATATTAATAAATTTATAGTTTTTATGTATGTGGCACATAAGAATATTATATAATTAAATTAATTATCTAAATATCTGTATCTACAATTACAAAATGTATGATGAAGCTCCACATGTATATAATGGATAATATTGCAATGTGCCTTATTACTGCCTTATTTTGCTTAAATCTTTATTTGTAGCATTCTTTTCCTGTTATAGAAGTGCACTGCATGCTTTACTTTTATTTCTATGACACTTGCTTTTTGTTAAAGATGCCACCAATTGAGAAAGTTCAGATTCTTAATTAATTTATTGCTTATAGTAATTTTTTATATGGCAATTAGCTCGGAACCATGATACATAAGTTTGGCACATCCGTGTCTGATATGTGGCCGGACACTGACTTTTTAGCATAGGCATGGATATGACATGGTACACAACTAAGCACATACTCTAAGAAGCATGGATACAAACACTTGATATAACATTGACACACCAACACGACAATTTTCAAACATGACACATGGAGAACACACGCAAAATATATGTTTTGTATATTTATTATATATACTATATATGAATATTTCCTTCCTAGTTAAAAAAAATAAACAACATAACACAATTTTTTAAAGTTTAAAAGAGAATGGATTATTAGGTATAAATATATTAGATTATATAGTTATTTTGTTCAAACTGGTAATATTTATAATGTATGCCTTGTAAAATCACAATTAATTAAAGTTTATAAGGTATAAATCTGTGTTGTTTTTCTTTTATCATTTGATTTTAAGTCATTTTGTTCAGACTTATAATGTGTTTTATATGTGCCTTGTTAGATCACAGCTAGTTTAATATACAATATAGAGCACTGCTATATTCACCGAATTTGTTCAACCCAAATTTGCCTGAATGAGACTCTTCCCATTCCTGGGAAAACTCTTCCCAGGAAGAGTCTCATTCGGGTTGAACAAATTCGGTAGATGATGAATCATTAATCATATAATATTTTGTCTTCTTTTTGTTTTTTCCAACTGTAAGCCACGTTGCCTGCTTGGATGCATGTGTGTACAAATATTGGATCCTTGTGCCCACAAGTTTATAAGTTATGATCCCCCAAAAGATTAACAATCAGAACTATTCAGACCTTATATGTATTAACAATGTGTATTGAAGCATGACCCATAAATTAATACACATTGATTTGTATCAATACGTATTTCTGATTGAGGATCCATTACATAAGTGGATGAAAAATTTACATGTGCCTTGCACATAATAACATCTCAAATATTGATAAATGTTTAAAATGACCTCATTCTTTCTTGGGAAAATTACAATTCAGTGGCATTTTTCCAACCAAAAAAAAAAATTCAAATTAATGGTAAAATTTATCAACTTTATAATTAAAATTTTAAACTTTTTCATGAATTTGTAAATATTTTGTGAAGATTCCACTGGTTTGCAATTTTTCCTTCTTTCTTTCCCTCCCTTCCTTTTTTCTCATTCTTTTCTTTCTGCTACCCATGTCAGCAGAGCCATGGCAGCCTACACTATGGTCAAAATATGCCGCTAGGATAGGAGTGGGTAGTTTGATATCGTTTGTAACTTTCTCTTGGATTGTTATTTGAATTTTAGTTTAAATTTCTAGTTCAAAGTTCCTTTCTCTAGATGGTGGGTAAAATTTCCAATTTTGGTGCTATCCTTTCAACAGCAAAATAGGAAAGAGTCAAGAGAAAAGGTTGGGCCAAGAATCTTTTCAATAATCGACAATTCCCTTGACTAACTCCCTCATATTTTGCATACAAGTTTTTGAAAATATATATCATAAACTATTTTTATTTTTATAAAAAAATAAACATAAATATTTTCTATTAAAAATAAGTAAAATGTAAATCTCATCAAATCAAAAGATTGATCTTTATAAAACTTGTGTGGCCTGAAAATATTTGACTAATACCTTATATATTGGTAGAAGTCAAATATGTTCCAGACATAGTAACATCCAACTTCTCAATTCAAACATATCATAAATTTTGAATTCTTCTCCATCTTTTACAAATCCGAATGGTAACGAAACCCTAACCCTATCTCCAAACTCTCATTTATACGCACATATACAAGAATACTCACACTGATCTATACAAATATATACGTCTGTGTGTGTGTGCTTGTGTGCACGCGCGCAATGGAAGATTCCAAATCATACACACCAATGATGACGACGGTGATCATTTCTTCAGCGCTCTCGAAGAATTCTCCTTCTACAACTGCGTTGACACGAACGAACCAGATCAGTCAATTTCGAACTCATCATCATCGGTTTCTCATTAGATTATTTTTTTTTTAGACGTAACGGACTCAAATGAAAAGAAATTTTTTAGTATTCCAGAAATGAGATGAATGTAAAAGACTCGTTGCATTAACTGTATCTTATTAAGTATTGACACTATAAAATGAGTGTTGTAGTTGTGTCAGACACACGGACACGACGGGGACATGTATGAGACGCACCACATGACGTGTCCCCTTATTTAATTAATTTACTTTCAGGGGACATGTTGGGGACACTTGACACACTAGGGATATACTAACTTGTCTTTTTTTCTATTTTCTTTAGTGCTTTTGATTAATATTGAATGTTTATTATTATTTTTAAATTTAAATACTTAATAGATCATCCATAAATAAATATATAAACTGTAAGTATTAATTTAAAAGTTTTTTTTTTATTATTATTTTAAAAAAGGGTAAATTACACTGACACCCTTTGAGGTTTCTGTTTAATACAGATCCCCCTCACATTTGAAAAATTACATTTACCCCCTTGTCAAATTAAAATGACATATTTGCCCCTTAGCATTTATACATATAAAATAATAAAATAATGCTAATATTTTGATCATGTCATTTCAAGAGAAATAACAATCATCGTCTTTGGTTTAAATTACACAAAAAATTAATTTTTTTATTTTTCGTATTTTTTTTTAATTTTTATTGAATTTTTTTTTTTAATATTTTAAGAAATTTTTTTATTTTTTAGATACACCTAATCTAGATATACTTAAGAAATCTAATATTTTGTGATTTTTTTTTTTTTTAAATTCACCAAATACAAAAATATAAAAATACAAAAAATCAGTAATATTGTAACAAATGTGAATGACGGTGTTTGGTAATACTGTAATAAATGTTGGTGAATAGATGAGAAAGAAAAATGATGGTGGAAATAAAAATGAAAAATTCTATTCATATAAAAAAAATTTATACAAAAAATATCATAAAAATGTTGTGATAGTAATATTATTGTAAATATAAATAATGTTTATGGATGTTTTGGTTTAAAGTGAAATGTCACTATTAAGTTATATCATTTTGTTTGAAAATTTTATATAAAATTTATGTTTGTATATCATCACTCAATAAGAATATGTTCAAATAGAATTTAATGATGGAAAGCTGTAGAATGTAGTCATGATGATAGGAAGAAGAAATGGTAGGAAAAAGGGCAAAATGGTCATTTAGAAATTTTTTAGGTATGACATCAACAATCCAAAGGGCAATTTGTAATGAGATTACAAACCTCAGGGAGAGGAATGTAATTTTTTAAACGTGAGTGGAGGATCTGTATTAAACAGGAATCTCAGGGGTTGTCAGTGTAATTTACTCTAAAAAAATATAGAATTAGATTTAGTTTTTGTTAATATTAATTGTTTGTGGATGTAATATTAATCTAAATAGCAAATAAAAATATATAAAACATATTTTATTTACGTGTCCCCGCCGTATTCGTGTCCCTATTTTTTTGAAATCACTATGCCCCGTGTCTGTAATCATATCCGTGTCAATGCTTCTTATATTGTATCAAATAGGATGCTCTCTTTATTCTCTTACCCTACGTATTCATACTCACTTTCCCTCTCTTTCTCAACACATCAAAACCTCGAAAATCACTTCTCTCTCTCTCTCTCATTTGTGTGGTGTCTATATACTCAATTTGGTTATTGTACTTCAACAATGAATAAAAATCAATTGATTCCTGAGCAAAACAAAGTAATTTAATTAACTAGCTCTTTCAATTTGAAGTCTTAATAATCGTCTTTTTTCTTCTCCTTCGTTTTTATTTTTGTGATTGATATGTGCACATATATTTGTTAATATTGATTGTTTGTAGATATAATATTAATCTAGATAGCAAATAAAAATATATGAAAACGTATTTTATTTCCATGTCCCCGCTATGTCCGTGTCCCCAATTTTTTTTTTTTAATTTTAAATCACTGTGTCTGCATCTGTATCTGTGTCCGTGCTTCTTAGATTGTATCAAATGGGATGCTCCCTTTATTCTCTTACCTTACCTATTCATACTCTCTCTCTCTCTCTCTCTCTCTCTCTCTCTCTCTCTCTCAACACATCAAAACCTCGAAAATCATTTCTTTTTTCTCTCTCATTTGTGTGGTGTCTATATACTCGATTTAGTGATTGTACTTCAACCATGGATGAAAATCAATTGATTCCTGAGAAAAACAGGGTAATTTAATTAACTAGCTCTTTCAATTTGAACTCTTAATAATTCTCTTTTTTTTTTCTCTCCTTCGTTTTTATTTTTATGCTTGATATGTGCATATATATTTCTTAATATTGATTGTTTGTGGATATAATATTAATATATATAGCAAATAAAAATATATAAAAACACATTTTATCTCCATGTCCCCGTCGTGTCCGTGCCCCCATTTTTTGGAAATCGCCGTGTCCCGTGTTTGCATCTATATCCATGTCCGTGCTTCTTAGATTGTATCAAATGGGATGCTTCCTCTATTCTCTTACGCTACCTATTCGTACTCACTTTCTCTCTTCTTAATTTCTCTCTCAACACATCAAAACTTCGAAAATCACTTATTTTTTCTCTCTTTCTCATTTGTGTGGTGTCTATATACTCTATTTGGTGATTGTACTTCAACCATGGATGAAAATCAATTGATTCTTGAGAAAATTAGGGTAATTTAATTAACTAGCTCTTTCAATTTGAAGTCTTAATAATCCTCTCTTTTTTTGTCTCCTTCATTTTTATTTTTATGCTTGATATGTGCACACACACACACACATATATTTCGCTTAAGAAATGAATGTATTATTATTCCATAAATAAAGTATTTTCATCTTTTACTGTCTCTAACGTGTCTGTGCCATAATTTTGTAGAGATTACCATGTCAGCGTGTCGTTCTTGTGTTTTTGTATCCATGCTTCACGCTTCACGGTGAATTAACTGCTGTTGCTGCATAAAAATTTATAACTATTTTTTAGGAGAAAGTAGTGCATGTTATAATGGTTGAATTATACATTTTCATTGGAAGATCATTATCTAGTATTGGCATTATTATGAAATTCAAATGTATTTGTAGGCATTGGGTATGCACGATTGATTTATTTTATTATTTGGATTAAGTCACTTACACTTAATAACAGGTTTGTAGATTTTGCTATTTACTATTTATTTTTGTTTTAACAGTGCTAGGCTTCATGCTAGACAAAAGGAAAACCTGGCTCAGAGAAATGTAAAAGAAACATTTGCTCCCATTGATGGATTGTCTGGACCTGAGTCACTTCCTCAAGTCCCTTTATCCAATTCCAAATATGGGGAACAAGTGACTAAACTAGTTCAACCTGTTGAAGAGAATGCTCCAATGACTGAGTTGGACGATAACAAATGTGGTCAGATTTTGTAGGAACCAAACAGCAAGACTGACTCTTCCTCAAGAAAGAGAAAAATTTCAACGCATGAACTGAGTGATCATTTGGATATTCCTATTCAATCTCTTGGTCATCATTCTTTTGACGTTGTGGGGCCAAGTGACCATGTGCTGAGTACCATCTGTTCAAACTCTGTGCCCAACAACGACTTGTTACCTGCTCTTGGACTGCGTGCTCCCAATGCTAATCGAATGGAGTCATCCCAGAAGAAAATTTCAAGATCATATAGCAGGCAAAGCAGAAAAGTAATGAGACGAGAGATCCCATTCCGTATAGCTTCTTGCTTTGGGACTTCAAATGAGATTGGCGGTAAAGATCATGAGAGTAACTTGGGCAAATTTAAACTACCAGATACATCAGCGGAAGCTTTCCAACAGCTGAAAAATAGCAACCCTGATAATTATATCCCGTTTTGCCGGTATTCTCTCTCTCTCTCTCTCTCTCTCTCTCTCTCTCTCTATCTGTCTGTCTGTCCGTCTCTATGCACACAAGCATGCACGTACACAAGCATGCACGCACACTGCATGTGCATGCTCTTTGGTTTAAAAAAAAAGAGGAGGTAAATTACACTAGATTTGTAGGGCACATTTTATTTTTGCCAAAAACTTGTGGGATGTCCGTGTAATTCATCCTTTAAAAACGAAAAAAACGGCTCTGCAGGAATTTCATTGTTATTCTTGTTTTAATTGCAGCATCCTCCAGCAATCCTGCCAGCAAGAGGTTCTGGGCGTTTTGAAAATTCAGGATCATCTTTCTTTGACTTCCAAGAACAGATGGTCCTGCCCAAATTACCTGTTAATGAGAAGTTGCAGCCTACATTTCCATTTCAGGCCAGAAATGTGCCCCATTCCCACCCTGACTTGATACCCACCAGCCTATCATCGGGACCACAAGTTGGAAATTCAAATGACCCGGTTCAAGACATTCCCACAATGCCGTTGTTTCAGAATATAAACTTTCCACATGATGCACCAAAACACAATCAGCAACAGAGGGAGGCAGGTCTCATGTTGGGTTTGGGACAGACACTACCCACATATTCACCGTTTCTGGAAAACCATCTGAAGCTTTTTGGAAACATAACGATGAGAACTGGGTCCGGATCAAGCAGGCTGCTGAAAAAGAATTCAAAAACAGGTATCTGGTCTGAAGATGAACTTGATTTCTTGTGGATTGGCGTTCAGAGACATGGACGGGGCAATTGTGATGCTATGCTTCAAGACCGGAGGTTAATATTCTCGAAATTTAAAACTGCAGAAGATTTGTCAGCAAGATGGGAGGAGGAACAACTCAAGATCATGGAAGGGCCAGCTTTTACTCTGCCAAAACCAACCAAGCCTACAAAACCTACCAAATTGTCCTTGTTTCTGTCAATCTCTGATGAAATGATGACCCGGACATTGCATGGAAGTAGATATGGTGGGACCCCGAAATTTCAGCCCCACTTAACAGACGTGAAGCTGGATTTTGGTGATCTGGCACCCAGCTTAACACAGTTAGAACAGCTGTTTCTGCTGAACTCATTTGGAACCAGTAACACAGGTTCTCTTGGTGTGCATTGCTTGAGCAGCTTTGATTTTCAGAAAAAGGAGGACGTGCAAGGGGCAAGTAAGTTTGGGAAGTTGCCAAGTATTTTTGGTATTAAAATGGGAAGTGTTGAACCTACTAGTTCTGTGTTGCTGCTTGATATTAATGAAGACCCAAATGTTTTTGATTCAAAGGGAAAAGAAGACGTACTTCGAAGAACAAGCTGCCACATTGGCTTCAAGAAGCTGTAGGCGTTTCTTCAAAACCCCGAGGTCCCGACCTACCACCAACTGTCTCGGCAATAGCACAATCTGCTCAGTTGCTATATGGAGAGGAAAAATTTACTATTCCTCCATTCGTAGTCCCAGGTCCACCTCCTTCCCAACCAAAGGACCCACGAAGAAGTCTGAAGCAGAAGCAGAAGAAGAAGAAGAAGAAGAAGAAGAAAAAGAAGAATCAGAGGACTCACGTGCTCAGCCATAACTTCCAAGGTGGCCTTGACAGTAACAATGTTCTTTCAACCTCTGTTCCATTGGCCCCAACATTTCCTCTGGTTCTGCAGTCGGCAGTGGGAATTTCAGGAATGAACTGCAATATGCCTCCTCTGAATTTGAATACAATGAATCCATCATCGTCATCCATGTTTCAAAATCCCCAGAAGAAAATGACCACGGGATTGTCACCTTCTCCTGAAGTGCTTCAATTCGTGGCATCCCATGTTGCTCCACATCCTGTTTCAGGTATGACAAGCTCAAACTTCCATGAAAGCAATGTCCTTTTTCCTGAATCTAAGCAGAGCTCACCTTTTGGTGCTTGGGGTCCACTCACAGGCTATAAACTAGACCAAACTGAAAGCCATGATTCCAGCGAGACTGAGTAAGATCCTACTCCACTTAAACAGCTGGATGTTGTGGAAATATCGTCGGAAGGCACCGTGTCGGATCATCATGTGAGTGACCATGAACAATAGCTAATACATGGGATTGATTCAGAAAACATGACTCACTCTTTTACCAATGCTGCTACATAGTCAGGTCATTTACCAATTTGCTCCGAATTTGTAGGCATGATATGCAGTGAGTATTAAACTAGCAGACATAGGAGCATTTAGGATCTTTGTTATATAAAATGGAGTATATAAACATAGATAACCTTTTTGTCTCACCCTAAACTCCATTTTTTTTTTCTGGTTTAGTTTCATATTCTTATCGGGGAGTGATGAACTGGTTGTTTGTTTGCACAATAAGGTTTTGAATTTTGTTCATAAGGTGGATTAACAAAGTGAAGGTTTTTGTATAGTTTTGCTCTTTGTTGCTATTGCTGTGTCCTTGTATGTACCGGTACTTGCTCCTATGTACTCGTGCTGTATTTTACTAGCGAAACACTTATTTTTAAGATGTTGCAAGGCATGAGGAATTTGATGCATAAATGCAGGATTGAAGTGAGGAAACTGGAAAAGTGTTTGAATTATGTTTTGTGATTATTGTACGTATGGATGTTTTCAATGATGTGGAGTTTTGGTCTATGGCCTGCATAAAACATATATTGTTTTCTGGTAGTTATCACTTCAGTATTATACTAACCTAAGTAGCACGGATACATGACACGACATTGGCATGACATGAACACGTCAACACATTGATTTTGAAAAAATGTAAGACATGACATGTTTAGAACATGTTAAAATTTTATATATTTATAAATTTATTATACGTCATATATGAATAATTTATTCAAGAAAAAAAATGCAACATTGCACTAAATATATTTAAAAAGTCATATATTTTTCATAATTTAAACCTTAATATGTCATTCATATCAGAATTACATCCTTAAAGAGTATAAAAAAATTACAAAACCCTATGAAGCACAAGTATGGGTACGAGTATTAATACTAGTACAATACGGGTATATTGATATAGTAAAATCTAAAAAAAGTAGGAGTAGGGGTACAGGTACGTCTTGATACGTTTATAAAAAAATAATTATTTTTAATTTAGAGCAATGCAAAAATTGATTAAATGTTTTAATTTGTTAAGATCCAACCTACAATTAACATTTAATGTCAAAAGTGAAGGTATAAATCAAAATTAAATTTCGTTAAATTAAATAATTTGCAAACCATAACTTATTTTTAAAATCATGTTAAGCATATAAAACTAAGAATAAAAAAGAAGTATAGTGAAAGAAATTTTATCTTTGTAGCAGAAAAAAATATTGTTATGATTGAGGTATGGTACGGCTCAGGTATATACTAGGTACGTCTCGGTACGTCAAAAATTAAGAAGAAAAAATTTGGGTATGTGTTTTGTGTACCTGTAGACACCCCATTTTTGACCGCCCTTAAGACTTGGGCGTTACTGATGGTTTACTTGGCGGTAAAAGGTCTGTAGAGCAAAGGTTCAATTTCTTCGACAAGGAGAGAGACAAATCTCAACTTCACACCCCATTTTGGACCAAAGCTATTTTGGATGGTTTTCATACCTTAAAACCCTCTCTTTCAAAATATTTTTGAAATAAAGTTTTTACAATGTTCCGAGGCTCACATTTTTGTCAAATAATACGCTTTTCGATGAACCGAGCAAGGACAAAATGGAAACGAATGAAAGAGAGATGAAATCTTTGAAAAATATTTCAAAGCACCTTACTTAGGGGTTTGAAGTTGAGGAAAAGAGGAGAAGAGGGGGGAAACCAAGTTGGAGAAGAAGTTCGGCATGAATCTGGGTAGAAGAGGGTTGAGCAGCCCTCGCTAAATCGGGCTTATTCATTTGCATACTTGGATTTTATCTATGAGGCCACCACCGTTGGAAAGCTTACTTTCGGGGCTTCATTTTGCACTCAAGAATCTCCTAAAGCCAAGTCCGGGTGGAGGAGATATGATTGGTTGAAGTTGGGCATCATCCCGGTTGGATCGAATCTGCGCGGCTTCACCAAAAAGGGCATAACTTTTTGCACAGGAGGAATTTTAATGTAAGGTTTGCGCCATTGGAAAGCTAACTTTCAGGGCTTCAATCTGGACACCCATCGGCCACTTTTTGACCTTGGCAGCCACCTATCGGCCGTCTATTTAGCCGGTCGGTCAAAAAAAATAGTAGGCCGACCATTTATTGTGCCGACCGGCCATTTATTTGGCCTATGGCCTCCTTTTATGGTTGGTTTTACCCTTTTGCACCCTTCAGGCATGGTGCATGCTAGCTATGCCAACTGGGATGCACAAACCCTCTCCCCTGTGCATATGTGTGGCTATTTTGAACCTTTGACCCCTTTTGATCCAAACCTTTTGCACCCTTTGATCAAGCTTCTTGAGGAAGCTTGACCCTTTGTCAAAGCTTCCTCAAGAAGCTTGCACCCTTACCTTAGCTTCTCTAGGAAGCCTTGACCCCCTTGACCCTTCTCATTTAGCTTCTCTAAGAAGCTTCAAAGCTTTCCCTTGTCTATATAAGAGACCTCCCTTCTCCTTTGATTGGGTTCAGCAAAAAACCAGAGCTATACACATATATATCTGATATATATCATCCTCTCTCTCTATATCTCCCTCTCCCTCTTCATTTTGTGTGTGTTTAAGGGCCTAAAGTGTGTGTTTGTTCTTAGTTTTGCACTAGAACACATAGCATTACACCTTACTTCGACTTTGAGAGACATTGAGGGTTTGTTCTTGAGGTTTTGGACTGAGTTTGGTCAGAAGAGAGTGGCTGGGACTGCTGTTCTTGAAGTGTTCTTTAAGGGTAACACTTTTGCTGTATTTTTCCCAATCTTGCATTAGCTTTTGACCTATCTTGCATGTTGATTTAAGCTTTGTGTATAACATAAAAAAGTTCTGTTTTGTTGTGTTTAAGATAGTTCATTAAGGTCACTTTTGTGTTTGGGGTCGTTTACCCCCTCTTAGGCCTTGTTTGGCCCCATTTTATGCTATTTTTGGTGAGCTCCGGGACCACCTTGTTTGGGCCTCCTCACCACTGAAATCTTGACGGATTTCAGTGGTGAGGATGGTGATTTAAGGTCCTAAGAAGGAGAGGGTCATCCCCTCTCCTTGGTGTCTTGTTTGCTTGCATTTTTGGCCTTACAAAGGGGCCTATATTTGCAAACTTCTTGAGCTCGGTTCAGGCATTTTTCAGTGGGTTTTAGGACCCCCATAAGCCATTTCCAGAGTTGTTTTGGTCATGTTGAGTGTCCTTCTTGCATGTGTAGAGTAACCCTCTTATTGGCCTTTCAAAGGAGCACCTTTTTCTTGCATGTATTGGACACATTTCAGTGGGTATTTGGTCATATTTTGGCATGCCTTAGATCTGTTTTTGCTTGGTTTAATGGTCTCTCGCATGCATCATATGCTTGCTTTGCAATCCTATATTTTGGCCTAACATGCATCATGTTGTGAGATGACATTTTAGCATGATTTTGGTTAGGTTCCAAGAGGGTTTTAGCACTGTTTTGCCATGCTTAAGGTTTGGTTATGGTTGTTTTGATCATGTTTTCCATGATTTGTATAGTCGTCTTGCATTCTAGCTTACTAGCCTTGGGTGTGTGGGTCACTAGTATGCTTTACTTGGCTTATTCTCATGATTTGGCATCTTCGGAAACCACATTTCAGTCCATGTTCCATGTTTGCATACTTGTATTTTCCATCCCTTTCATGCCTTGAAGAGTTGATGGCTTACGCTCCATGTTTAGGCCCTTGTGCATGCATGCTTGTGTGTGCGTTTTCATGCCTTTGTTGCATCATTTTGGCCACTGATTTGGGCCTATTTGAGAGCTACCCATTTTGGTTTAAGACCATTTCCACATGTCGTTGCATGCTCATCCATCTTGCATGCTTGTTAGTTTGCATAAGTTGCATGCTTGTTAGTTTGCATAAGTTGCATGCTTGCATATTTACATTACTTGTTCACATGCTCATATTGCATGCTTAACTTCCATGCCTAGGTTGCATAACATTAAGCATGCATGCTTTGCCTCTTGAATTGAGTATGATAGAGGTTGAGTTTATTGTGTGTTTGTGTGCATTATATTTGACATTAAAATGCACAACTTGGTTTCTTGGGCCATCACGCATTAAAATGCGCGATTGGTGGTCCGAGAATCGAGCACCATACCCCTTTGAGTCTTAAATATGATAAGGGATGTGGTGGTGCATACATTTGCTTGAAATGCATTGCCATGCCATGTTTTGCCCTCTGCTGCTGTCAAAACAGGTTCTGCAGGAATATTTGGCCGGTCAACTACATGGAGTGCCGACCGACCAATTATTGATGGCCGAGAGCTCAACAAATGGCCGATGACCATCCGGACATGGCCGGTGGTGTTCCCACTTGGTCGGTGGTGCTCCACAGTGTCCATGGAGCATACCTTGGGAGTTGTGCAATTTTCAGAAGAGCAGAGCAGGGAAAACAGAGGCAAACTTGTGCATGGCGTTGGATTTCCGAGCAAACCCGAGCACGCACGCATGGAACCCTCTTCCTGAGGCCTTTTACCGCATACTTAGCTTAGTTAATTTGCTTAATTAATTAGGTGGACTGTAATATTTAATTAGCTTGTAGGTTAATTAATTTGTATTATTCTTTTGGTCCCTCCGGGCGAGGGCGAATGTGTAATAAGTGTGTGTGAGTGTGTGCATGTCTTCCAACCCCACGTCTTTCTTCCCTTTTATTTACTAGCTTTTGATGGTTAGTCTAGGGCATGTTTCAATTAGCATACAATATGATAGCATGTTTTCATCCATTCATTCATTTCGCATGCACCGGGCTCGGCGCATCATTCTAACTGCATTTGTATTTCAATTCCAAATTGAATACATGTTGTCTATCGCATTTCACATGTCATTGTAGATTAGCCAAGCCTATCTTAGTTGCATTTTGCATGTGTTACATTAGCCATCTTAACATGAACTAGGACCATGCATATGATTACTAACTAGTTTTTATTTTGGCTTGAAGTACTAGATAAGTTCTTATGCTTTAATATCCTTGCATGCGTGTGAGCGTTGCCATGACAGCATGATTACCATGAGGTTAGTTGCTTATGTGATATAACTACTTGAATGCTTGTGGATGGAGGTTGAATTACCTCTCTTTCCAAATACATACAAGGATATACAACCCAAGGTTCAAGACGAACTCCACACATAATCAACTGAATAGAACAGTTTTCACAATCATGCAAGGGCACATATATTCCATTCATAACATTTAGCATCAACACCTCCCACTAAGGTACATTATCATGTTTCAACACGAAACTCAACATATTGTGGCACGTCTACGAGGGACCGCGCTACAGTTCAGACTCGATTTGTGTCACGGTTCTTAATTTGAACCAAAGAGTCCAAATCCGGCAAATCATTTTGAGAAACAAGTTTTTGAAAAGAAGTGCCAAACATGGACTGCTTTGCCATATACAGAGTCGCCACCTAAATATTTTATTTCGGGAGAATTTAGGAAACCCTGACTCGGTGCCAAAGGCCACGTGTCCATCATCACC